TCCTTGTCTGTCAAAGGATGACTAACATTCAGTGATGAATACAAAATGGCTCGGAAAAGGAAGGTGTAGAGGGGCTGAATTGTTGCTCCTGGCAGGGTCCACTTCCTCTTCCTTCTCTGCCCCTCCTGCTTCACCCTTTTTCCTGGGGCTGATTAGTGGGTTCTTGGCATCCAAGGGGCCCAGCTCCAAGTTCCAGCCCTGATTCTTCATCAGAGTTCTGGAACCTGATCCTTGATGTCCTTATAGGTTCTAAGAAGATGTCTGTGGGCAGAAGGAGAAGATGTCAGGCCCAAGGACTCCCAAGTGAGGTTTAGTTCAAGGTACTCCATGCTCCCAAGTGAGCTTCAGCCTGGAATGATCAGAAGTTAGGCCTCCAGATAGATTGTGTGGCTGGTGCATTTTGGGGAGGTATGGGGCGTGCTTTCACCTCTTAATAGTTATTGAGTCATTATCAACTGCTTAAACCTTCTGTTAAGGTTTATGTTACATATACTGTTATATGTGCTCACACTTCTATAGTGTTCTCAGATTTTGATACATAAGATAAAAAAGCGGCTTACTACAATTTGAAGCAGAGATCTGTAGAGAGGCTGTTGATTTTATGAGCTGTAACACCATTCTTTTTTCCCTTTTCAAGAAAGCATGTAGGAAAGGAAATAAGGGAGTGTCACATTCTAGGAATAATGTATCACCCAGAGAGGTGGTCCATTCTACCCACACTCTTCTAGGCCTTCGTGGAGCTCCTGCCACCTTGCCTTCTTCAGCATCTGTTGGTCTGGATTTTGCCCCATCTCCTTCAGGCCAGTCATTCCTCTCTCTGCTAGACCAGCAACGTTGTGCTGTGGAAGAAGCTAGACTTCTGAGTCAGGCAGCCCTGGCTGCAAATCCTCTCTGTGCCGGTCACGGTTAAACCTTCAGCAAGTCCCTCAGCCCTGCTAAACCTCAGTGTCCTCATCTTTAAATTGGGAATAACTCCTCTCTCAGAGCATTAGAGTGCAAGGACTTACTGCATGTGCTCTGTACACAGACCCTCCAGGTGCCTTTCAAGCACAATCTCTAATCCCTTCACCCATGATGTGGCGGGTGCTGTCCTTGTTGACCGGCTGAGGCTTAGAGTATTCGATGGCTAATGTAGTAGCGGTGTTCTGTGCCCCATCATCAGTTTGGGCCTGACCTTGACTTCTGTCTTATGGTTGCCAGCATCAACACTTATTCCCTATGCCTGGGGAACCCAGCACAATAAGGTTTGAGGGAAGGCAGTGCCTCCCCTCCCACCTCAAAAGACAGAGTGGTGTTGGCTGCTTGCTCTCCCTGACCCCCAGGCGGGGAGTGAGCACCGCCCTCAACTCAGCCAATTGGATGCTCCCATCTGGTACTTTGAGTCTGAGGGAAATGACACAAAGAAGCAGTGGACAGTTGAGAATTCATTCTGACAGTAACAGGTCAAGTTCCTCTTCAACTTAAGTCACTCAGACTTGGTTTCTATTGTTTGTCATCAAGAACTCTGCGTAGCAGCTGTGTGTCCCCAAAGATAGTCCTCTGGTATTTCTGAACCTTTTCGTTTTCTGCCTAATGCTCCCTTCCAAATCCTGGGAGTCATTTGCCTCTGCTTTGTGCCAGTGTTGGCTAGAAATGCCAGGAGGCACTCACCTGGCCCTGGAGAGCTTCCCGCAGACATTTCCCCTTTCCAAACCAGTGTTGTGACTGGATTGACCCTTGTGGTTCTTATGATTATAAGGCACCTTTCAGTAACGAGCATCAGGAAATTGTTGAAAAAATGAAGATTTATTTCTTATAAGACCTGGGAATTACACAGCACACCTGGGTCCACATAGGAAAGTTGCAGGTAGAGGGAACACATGGGCCTGGAGTTCTGTTTTTATTGGGGTTGAGGGTGGGGAAACTAGGTTTTATAGGTATACTCTTTTTTTGGTGAATTTAAAACAGAAGAGCAGGAATTTAAAGCTTAGGAAGATGAAAGACACGTGGCCCAAATGGTCAGTTATCAAACTCAATGGAGATCTCTGAAACAAAGGAGGTAGTCTGGTTCTTTATCTAGCGTGGCTATCTGCAACATCTTTTAGCCCAACCCTGGGGTCTGGAGGAGTTGCCATTTGTAGTGTACATCTGTTGTTTTTACCTGCCCCAAATACTCTTCTTAAGAGATGGTCCTTTCTCCTCTTCCACTGGTGGCTGGGGCTACCAGTCACAAGACAAATGCCAAGGAGTGGGCTCCTGATCCAGCAGGTGGACAGGTAGTGTGAAAATACTTAAAAAAAATGCTTTGGGAGGCTTTCAGACACTTGAAAAAATGTTCATCATCACTAGCCATCAGGGAGATTCAAGTTAAAACCACATTGAGATACCACCTTACACCAGTTAGAATGGCCAAAATTAGCAAGACAGGAAACAACATGTGTTGGAGAGGATGTGGAGAAAGGGGAACCCTCTTACACTGTTGGTGGGAATGCAAGTTGGTACAGCCACTTTGGAAAACAGTGTGGAGATTCCTTAAGAAATTAAAAATAGAGCTTCCCTATGACCCTGCCATTGCACTACTGGGTATTTACCCCAAAGATACAGATGTAGTGAAAAGAAGGGCCATCTGTACCCCAATGTTTATAGCCGCAATGGCCACGGTCGCCAAACTGTGGAAAGAACCAAGATGCCCTTCAACGGACAAATGGATAAGGAAGATGTGGTCCATATACCCTAGGGAGTATTATGCCTCCATCAGAAAGGATGAATACCCAATTTTGTATCAACATGGACAGGACTGTAAGACATTATGTTGAGTGAAATAAGTCAAGCAGAGAGAGTCAATTATCATATGGTTTCACTTATTTGTGGAGCATAACAAATAACATGGAGGACATGGGGAGATGGAGAGGAGAAGGGAGTTGAGGGAAACTGGAAGGGGAGGTGAACCATGAGAGACTATGGACTCTGAAAAACAATCTGAGGGTTTTGAAGGGGCGGGAGGTGGGAGGTTGGGGGAGCCAGGTGGTGGGTATTACCGAGGGCACGTATTGCATGGAGCACTGGGTGTGGTGCATAAACAATGAATTCTGTTACACTGAAAAGAAATAAATTTAAAAAAATGCATTGGGAGAGAAGAGCCCTTTCTTTCCCCTTGGATGACAACCTATGAAGATACCACCTTGGAGTTGCTTCTGACCTCCAAATGGATTCAGAACATTTGTTAGCAGAACAAGGAAGGAAGCTGTATTAGTTTGCTAGGGCTGCCATAACAAATTACTACACAATCCAATGGCTTAAAACAGCAAAAATTTATTTTCTCACGGTACTCAAAGAAGTTCAAAATCAGGGTGTCACCCGGGTTAGTTCCTTCTGGTAGTTCTGAGGAAGAATCTGTTCCATGCCTCTCTCCTGGCATTTGGAGGTGGCTGGCAATCGTTTGCATTCCTTGTCTTGTAGATGCATCACTTCCACCTGCCTCCATCCTCACATGGCAGTCTTCCTTCTGTGTGTGTCTCTGTCCAAACTTCCTTCTTCTCAGGATACCGTTATTGGATTAGGGTCCACCCTACTACAGTACGGACCTCATCTTAACTTGATTAAATCTGCTAAGACCCCATTTCCAAATATGATCACATTCACAGGTTTGGGAGGGTGGAAATGAATTTTGGGGGGAACATTATTTAACTCAATACGGAAGCTAAGTTAGCTAAGGGTAAAGAAGCAGAAAGAGAGAGAACCTTAATGACAATGAATTAACCCCTAAACCCAGTCAGCCTGGATGAAGTGAGCTTTACCCTGGACTTTCCAGATAGGTGATCTAAAACATTTCATTTCCTTTAAGCTAGTCTGAGTTTGGTTTCCAGCACTTGTAACCAAAAAGGCTCTGACTAATATAGGGGTGAGTGAAAAACCAGAATAAAGCCAGCTGGGATTTTAACAATGCAGTAAGAAAATGTGTCTTCTTTCTTTATTCCCTTCCTTCCACGCAATACGCCAGTCTCAAGACATAACATTCCCTGCATCATGCTGGTCTTCAGAGTCTTCCAGGGCCACCCTGGTAGAAATATTCTCCAAGGAGAGGGATTACCCTTCTACTTACTTCTTCATTTTGCATGATTGGGCCCAGATACCCAAGAAATTGGGATAAAAAATGAGCTGTGTTTGGGAGCTGATCATTGGAGGTATGGGGACCCAGGTAGGGTTGGAGGTTGGATTCAATGGCATAACTTTGCTTATTCTTTGTAACTGGCATTCAGCACATTGCCCGACATATGGTAGATGCAAAATGAATATTTATTGAGAGGGTGAGGGAAAGAGCATATACGTAGTGTTTATGGGGGAAAATTAACCGAAGCATACGTGATATGATCCCAGCATTTGGGGCTCTCAGGGTAGATGGGCAGTTAATATGCCCTCACAAAGTAATTGTGTAACAATGTAAGAAGATCCACAGTCCAAACATTTAGGACTCTAAGGAGGAAGGGTGGAGGTTTAAGAGAGAGAAAGATCCCTGGAGTTTGGCTGTGGCTATTAAGAGAGGATTTGGGGAGGGGGAATAAGTTAGCTGGGTCTGGAAGGACAGGACTCTTCTGTTAAAGAAGAGCAGAGTGGAGTATGGAAAATGAGTTTTGTCTCCTCTCAGGGAGATGTGTAGGCTGGACAGGCAGAGGTAGGGAGGGGTGTCTGGTTGGTGATGGGGAGGTAAGAGTGGAGAAGAAAAGTTTATGGGCCAGGAGGTGTCTCTGGGAAGCCAAGATCCTGCTCTTGCAAGCTCAAAAAGAACAGAGAAGAACCCTTAACTCTCCCATCCATCTAGACTCCATGTTGGGCCAAGATGTGAGGACCCCAGCTCAGGCACCCAATAATGGGGTTTATGTGCACTATGGGTTTAATACTGCTGCAGTTTGGGGTTTGTCTGTTCCTTTAGAAGCTTCTAGTTGTGTATGACAGAAATTTGGGTTTATTGGAGTGTTTCTCTTTTGCTTGTAATCCAAGCTAACAGCTGATGCTAGCTAGTGTTTACCATCCTTGATTTGTTCCTTACGCTCCATATACGCTGATTCCGTTGCTTCCCTCCTCAAGGCCGGGCATGGGAGAAAAACAGGAAAAGGTGTGATTCTTTGTGGACTTGCCAGCTGATTCTTTGGCATTTTTGGATTCTTGCTTGTGGACCAGGGGGATGAATGGTGACCTCTCTCCTGGGTCTCTGCCTCCAGCTCCTACCTCCCAGCACTTTTCCTGCCAGGTTCCCTCGGGGATTTCTTTCTGGGTTAGACCTGGTTCTGGGTGTTAGGGAAGGTCTTCTGCTCTCCTGTGGCTTCCTTATCTACAGCGGCCTGGATATTCCTGGCTGCCCGCAGGCCGGACTTGATGGCAGTGTCTATCCAGCCATGAGGCGTGCAGGTGTGCTCGCCTGCAAAGTGGATGCGGCCCTCGGGCTTGAAGAGCTCCTGTGAATAGTCAATAAATTGGTAGGGTGTGAACTCAGCAAAGGCGCCCAAAGTGAGGGGGTCCAGAGACCAGCGTTTGGCCGCAGAAGAGGGGCATATACGCCGCAGCTCGTCCTTGGGTATCTGGTGCACAGCCGCCAGGTCCTCCAGGACCACATCCACCATCTGCTCATGTGTTATGGAGGTGAAGAAGAGGGAGTCGTCATCCACAGTGTAGGAGGCCAGCAGGATGCTCTTGCCATTGGGGAAGCTGTGGCTGGGGTAGTAGATGTAGCGCGAGGGCCGGTCGGTGATAGAGTACCCACCCCGGATGCCATCCCTCTCCCAGAAGGGCTCCTCACAGGTCAGGATCACCTTGGTGGCACTGGTGTAATGCACCAAGCGGAGTGCTTCCCTCTTGTCTTGGGAGAGCGGTGGCTTAAAGGTGATGAGGCGTGTGGCCTTGGCTGAGGCCGTGATGATGACAAAGTCCGCAGTGAGGTGGTTCAGCACTGAGCCGGGCTTGCCCACCTGGTAGGAAACCCGGACCTTGGACCCATCCCTCACTACCGTCTCCACGCTGGCACCCAGGCGGATGGTTCCAGGCTTCAGGGTAGTGCTGAGGGCTTTGGGGAGCTGGTCGAAGCCACCAGTGATCTCAGAAAAGCTGCAGGGGGAAGGAGGAGGGCAGATGGTGAGTGTAGCTGCCCGAAGTCCATGTTGGATGCTTCATATATATCTCCTTAACTAGTCTCTGGGAGAGAGGGATCATTGCTTAATTTTATACTTTGGGAAACTGATACCTGATGGAGAGGAACTTTCCCAGAATGGCATACATAGCCTAGGCCCACAGCCCATGGATTCAGCTACCATAGTCCTGGATCCCAGGAGGAGCCCCACAGACTTGGGTGTGGATTCTGGCTCCAGCTTTCACCCATTATGTGAACTTGAGTAAATTATAGAACTCCTCTGAGCCTCAGCATCCTCGCCTGTAAAATGGGTCTGAATAATAGTACCAATCTTCCAGGTGATTCAATGGGACTGTTTGTGGAAAGTGTCGTTGTGCCTGGCACATAGTGCCTATTCAGGAACCGTAGTTCCATTTCTTTGCTCTGAGGGTTAGAGGAGGGGCAGATTCCAGCCCTGGTCCCAGTTGGCCTTACTTGTTACTTTGGGAGAAGATGACGCTACTCCGCAGGGACTCTAGGAGGGACTTATAGTATCCAGAATCCTCATTCATCACAGTTCCGATCATCTTTACTGCTCCTTCGCTCAGTTTTCCTTCCTTCACCAAGTAAGCCTGTGGGGAGGTGGAAGGTTCAGATGGGGGCACCCAGCATGTAGGAAGGGGCTTCAGCAGGGGTCTAGGGCAGGCGAGGGGCAGCACTGGACTCCAGGAAGGTGAAGTCTTTGGTGGTGGGATGAAAAGGTTCTGGTCATCAGGGGACAACCCTAGGGGCTAGGCTGGGCACAGACCCCCTCCACCCCTCTCCTGGGATTTATGTGCCTCACGTACCTTGGTGGAGTAAGAATCATAAAAGGACAGCAGTTGGCTGCAGTTGAAATTTTTCAATTTTTCTTTGAGCTGCAAAAGGGGAGAACGGGGAAGCAGCTTAGATTGAAGCCATAGAACCAGTGGGAGGACTCCGGCATTCTCTGGATGTCCCTTTAAAGGGGTGGGGGGACACAGAGATAGGGGATGGAAAGACCAGGGAAAGGATGCTTCCAAGATCTCCTAAATGTTCTTTTTTCCTCCCAAGTCTCCCCTTCATCGAAGGACATTTGGAGACTAAAATTTAAGGGGGAGACATTCACTGTAATTCAAGAAGCTTGATTCATTACCAAGGATTGGGTTATCTGGTGATTCCCTTTCCTTCCACTGTCACCATCAAGCAGTGAGCCATTGGCCCAACAGGGATGGGGAAAAGATGGCATGAGGCCTAGGACAGGGTGGCAGCATTCTTAGGGGACGTTAGAGGAGAGACCCATCACAAGAGTGCTAGATGGGACCAGGTCACTGGGTCTGTCCACTAACTTGCCAGGTGACCTTGGGCCAGAACTTGTTCTTTCCCAACCCTACTAGGAGTGAGGCAGGAGGCACCTGGGCAATGGACTGGTGGAAGAGCTTTGTAGGGCTTTTTCCCTCCTCTGTTGGGCTCAAGGAATAGCCCAGGATCTCTGGATGGTCCTGGACCTCCTTGCTGCGATGGCGTCGCCCGTTGATGAGGTACCAGGTGTTGCCATCATACTGTATGAACTTGTTCAGCTTCAGGCCAAGCTTCTTGATGTAGGTGTGAATCAACCTGAAGCAGAAACAGGGATGACATGGCACCTCTCCCAGTGGCAACTTGTTCCTGCTGTCCTCACTATGGAACCTATTTCCAGGGAAACCAGTTCCTTCATGTGCCAAGGAAGCTCAGTCTGTTTCCTAAACTCTAACCCTGCTTCCTCCTGTTGTGGTATTCATTCTCTTCCTTCTGTTTTTGCCCCCAAGGAAAATGGCAAGGACAGGGTTTACCCTTTCCCCAAAGAATGCCCTGTAAGAAATCCCCAAGTATGGGATTTAAGTAGAGACCAAGGCCTCTGGTTTCAGACAGTATTTGAAATCCCATCTTCCATTTTTAAGGAAGGTGAGGCCAAATCTAGTTTGGGTTAGTTCTTTTTGTTTTTGTTTTTGGTGGCATTTGGAGGCAAGTCTTGGGTTCAGTTTACACTTAAGGCAAAAAAGTCGTCCTGTCCCATGTATTCAGGTACGTGGGACACTAGGCAAAGGACCTCTTTTGTCTTAGAAACTTCAGAACCAGGGGCTGGATTCTGTTCCAGGAGCTAGTTAGAGCATAGGGGTCGAGCATATGTTTTTGGGCCAGTTGCCTCCTTGATTTTGAAGAGGAGCTCTGTCACTTTCTCCTAGGAGAAGCTTGGGTGAGTCACTTAATATCTCTGAGCCTAGTTTCTTGATTTGTAACTGGGGAAGATAAGAGGATCGGATGGAATAATGCACCTGTGGCATTCAGCAGGGCACTTGGCACATAGAGGTGCTCAAAAAATGCAACTGATGGGATTATTAATTATTATTAGTTTGTAGCCTAATGGAGTATAATTGACAATGTAAGAAGCTGTCCATATTCAAAGTATACAATTTGATGAATTAATGGTAACTATTATTATTAGTTTGGGACCTACCACTTTCTGGGCTCTGAGACTCAGTCTTCCCTGTCAAATGGGAGACCGGTGTTTGTCCCAACTTGCATGATTGAACCACAGGAGACAGCGGATCTGAGAAGCTCTGACACGGTGGCCCAGGGCCCCTCACCTCACCGCCCTCACCTCCCCCCTTTCCACCACCTAATTCTCTTGCTTACCTTTTGCCCATTCCTTCCCTGGGACTTACCTGTGGGACTCTGGGATTCGCATGGGCCCTAGTTCATGGTACCAGCCCTCCTCCTTGTTCCTGATTGTGCTAACTCGACCCCCGATGCGGTTGCTGGATTCCAGGATGGTTACCTGGGGTCCAAAGAACATGCTGTTGTTCCCAGCATCATGCTTTCCCTTCTCCCACCCTGTACACCCATCTTCTTGCCATAGGCTCTAGTCTGGAATTCCCAGCAGTGGGTTCCCTGAATGTGCAGGATAACCAGAAGGAGGCTGGCAAGGTCCTGAGTAATGTAAGTGGGGCAGAATGCACTGTGGGGGTGGGGGACTGAGTGCCTCTTAAACTTTTCTTGTTAGTGTAACTTTTCTCCACTTTTGTTCCCATGAGAACATAAGTGAAGTTAGGGTCAAGTCTCAGGAGTTGTGAGGAACGTAACTAAGAGACCCAGCCAGTTATGAGCAGCTATCTAAGAATTGGCTGTATCTTCTCTTTTTTTTTTCTTTTTCCCACCCAAGAAAGCAAACCAGAGGCAAAGGATTGAAGCCCTCCAAGATCTGCTCACCTGGTGACCAGCATCCTGTAGGGCCTTGGCCGCCACTAGGCCTGACATGCCAGCTCCCACTACTACCACGCGCTTGGGCAGCGGGGAGGTGTGGAGCCCCTTCTGCGCCGTGACAAGGATGGACTCATATTCGGGGTCCTGAAAGCACTTGAACAGGTCCTCCAAGAAGCCAAGGCAGCTGGAAGTAGCCATCAAGAGCCCCAGGATCAGGATTCCTGTGGTAGAGAGGGGAATTGAGGGCTGCCTTTCTGGGACTCAGGCTCTGTGTCCTGCCCTACCCAGGATGAGCTTGGCTGTGTGAATGAGGGGGTGGGGTGGTGAGGTCAGGCAGTATATGTCAAATGTGTGGTTGTAAACATGTCTATTTCTGGTTGTGTCTATGTGGTGGCAATTGTGTTGTGTGGGGTACGGATGTATGGGTGAGCCGTGCTGGTGTTAGCTGTATGATGGTAGATGTGAATGCTGTGTTCATGTATGTGCACGTGATTGGAAACTCATGAATGTGTACAGGGTCATCTCTGACTATGAATATGCCTGCTTTTGCTGGTGAGTGTGTGTATGTGAACCTGTCTGTGATCTAAGTTGCAGTAATTGTGAATTTGTGATTGTTGCCCTATAAGACTGTGGATCATCTGTGATTTCATGGAAGAAGGTGTGTCTGTGGCGTGGTGTGGGCACCTGAGCAGATGTATGGATGAATCTGTATGGGACAGTGAGGTGGGTGTGTGTGGCCTGGGTCTGAAGAGTGCGCGTGACATGTGTGCATTTGCTGGAGTTTGAGAGGGAATGTGGTTGCTGGTGTTCTTGTGTGTGATTCTGTGAGTGTGTTTGAGTGTGAGGCTGGGTGGCAGAGCCGGAGGGTGTCTGTTCTTTGAGAATGTGTGCATTTGTGAGAGGATGGGTGTGTGGAAGCTGGAGAATGTGAGGCAAGCTTCTCTTTAGGGGGAATTGTGGCCAGTTTCTCAGTGGCATCACCAGTGCCCCATGGGATCTTGGCAGGCCCACTGCTCTTCTCCAGCCTCACGGTATTTTTTCAAATCCCTCCAGCTTTCCTACTGTGCAGCCAAGACAGGAAACCATAGTTAATATGTAACGTGCAACAAGTCCAGAGTGACGTGGTTTTCGTCTCCACAATTAACTGCTCTGGTGCACAGAGAATTCACCTGGGAGTCTGTAACAAGAGCCTGTGTGGTTTCCTGGGTGTCACTTGCTCTGAGTTGTGATGCACTGTACCCCCTTGCACTAGCCCTAGGATTTTTGGGTGTGTGAGAACCCCCTTTGTCCAGCCTTTGTCCATGCTGGACACAGGAGGCACACAGAAGGAAAGAGATCTTCAGGGGCCTCCCCTGAAGAGGGGCAGGAGACCCAGCGGGCTCCCAGTGCAGGCCCTTCCAAATCCCAGGAGAGCCTTCTGCTGGGGTGACTCCTCGGAAAAGAAGAGAGGGTGACCACACACTGTTGCAGAGATTCCCCAACCCTCACCCACTCTCCCCACCTTCCAGGCTTACCTCAACCTCCCAAATCTATTCTAACCTGACAAACTCTCCCATCTCCCTGAGCTACCACCATTCGTGTCTCAGGCCCCATTCTCCTTCTCCCTGAATGGGCCCAACCCCTAGACTCATTATCCAGACCTGTAACCATTCTCTTGACTCACTTTCAACACCTGGACCTATGTGCAACCCTTGATCTAGCCCTGTCCTGTCTCAGTCCATATGGCTCCATGCCCAGACTCCTCCTCTGGTCCATCTTCACCCCCTCCCTCCATCTAGTTCCTTGCCTTGTTTCAGCATCCAACATTCAACCCTCAGATGCCTCACTCTCAGACTTCGAGGGAGCACCACACTTACCCCTCATCTTGGTCATGGCCGTGCAGCTCCTACTGAGTCTGGGGCAGCTCTTCCTCTCCTTATGAAGAGCCAGCTCTACTCCAGGAGTGGCTGGCCACGTCCCACCAGCCTGCCCCCAGGGCTGGGCCAAGCAGAGAAGCCCTGCCCTCATGGTGAAAAGACCAGGATGACTCAGCCCCATACCTGGCCTCATCTTCCTCCTGGACTGTCTTGCTTCTGAGGGAAAACCCCTTCTCCCAGATCAGCCCCCAGCTCCTGGGTACCAGTGGGGAGGTGGCATTGTGGGAGCCTTGGGCCATCCCAAGCCTGCTGGAACAATCTTCCAGGAAATGAGTGAGGATTGAGGCTAATGTGTCTGGGTTTCTTTGGAAGGCCAGTGTCCGGGATCCTCGCCCAGGTCAGAGCACCCAACTGCTCCTACCAGAGAATGTCTGGTCCTACTACTGTCCCACTGTGAGCCTTCTGTTCCACTGTACATCTGTCCAAGGTCGGGATTCTGGCCAGGAGCTCCCATGGAGGACCTGCCCTTCCTGCCCTTCTCAGGGTCTCCTCCAGCAGGCTGGGCAGACATCTTGGCTGAGGAGTGTTTCATTTTTCCCCCTCTTCCTCTAGATCTTCTGGGGTTTCCATAGACACAAGCAGGCTTCTCTGGCACTGGAATTCCTTCTCCTGGGGAATCAGGCCAGCTGGCTGTGACACCAAGACTAGCTCTTTGTTCTTTCTGTATATGGTGCGAGTGGAGACAGTCTGGCTGGTGAGAGAAGTGGACAGGAAACATGCACCAATCTAGCAGCATGGGGCTGGGGAGGAGGGCAGGTAGGAGCACTCAGTATCAGGGATACAGGATTCAGATACTGGGAACCACAGGTGGCATAGGGGAAAGGACAGCAGCAATGGAGTCCAACAGAACTGGTTTCAAATCCTGTTTTAGTATATCAATGCTGTGTGTCTTAGGGTATAAGGCTTATATCTGTCTGAGCCTGGGTTTCTTTATCTGTAAAATGATGCTGTAACATTTTCTTTATAGGGTACCTCAGGATTATACAAGATAATGTTTGTGAAGAGCCTGGTGTAGCACCTTACACTCTATAGGCATTTAAACTGGCTTCCTTTTTCTTTTGTGAAGATAGGGTCTGATTTGATACCAGATCATACACAATCATAATATCTTTCTTTTTTTTTTAAAGATTTTATTTATTCATTTGACACACAGAGATCACAAGTAGGCAGAGAGGCAGGCAGAGAGAGAGGAAGGGAAGCAGGCTCCCTGCTGAGCAGAGAGCCTGATGTGGGGCTCAATCCTAGGACCCTGAGATCATGACCTGAGCCGAAGGCAGAGGACTTAACCCACTGAGCCACCCAGGTGCCCTCATATCTTTCAAATGGAGGTTATTCCTTTACCACAAGGTGGCTGGAAGAACCAAAGAAAATAACACATGGAGGTTACAGTATGAACAGCTGGGTTTTAGGCACAGGTCAAGGACTCTCTCTGCTTCTGTTTATTTTTTTATTTTTATTTTTTTAAAGAAGTAAAATTGCGTATTTATTTACAGATAATAGGAACTAAGTATATAAAATTCTGTAGACTCAACCATTTTTTATTTTTATTTTGTTCATTTTTTTAAAAGAAAATTTATTTTTATTCCATTCCCATTTTAATTTTTATAATAACTTTATTGAGATATAATTCACATACCTTACATTTCTTCCATTGAAAGTGAGTAATTCAGTCGTTTTTAGTGTCTTTACAGAGTTGTGCTACTATCACCATGATCAATCTTTTTTCAAGATTTTATTTATTTATTAGAGAGAGAGAGAGCACAAGTAGGCAGAATAGCAGGGAGAGGGAGAAGCAGGCTCCCCACCATGATCAATTTTAAAACATTTTCAAGATTCCAGAAAGAACGATGGTACCTGTTAACCATCACTGCCCATTCTCCTTGTCCTCCCAGCCCTAGGCAACTACTATTCTGCTTTCTGTCTTGATGGATTTGCCTGTTCTGGACATTTTCTACAAATGGTATCATACAATATGAAGTAATCTGTGACTGGCTCCTTTTGCTTGTATAATGTATTCAAGATTTACCCATGTTGTAACATGCATCAGTACTTCATTCCTTTTAATGACCAAATAATATTCCATTTGTGACTGAATAATATTTCATTTACACCATAAAGTTGATCCATGTTTCAGTTGATGGCCATTTGGGTTTTTCCCACTTCTTGCCTGCTATAAACAATGCTGCTCTAAAATTCTTTTATAAGACTTTATGTGGACATAGAGTTTCATTTCTCTTAAGTATATATATTTGGAATGGAATTGTTGGGTTACATGTTAACTCTATGTTTAACCTTTTGATGGATTGCCGGACTGGTTTACAAAGAGGCTGCACCATTTTATTTTCCCACTAGTAGCAAGTGAGAGCTCCAGTTTCTCCCCATCTTTGACAACACCTGTTACTATCTGCTTTTGATTATAGCCATCCTAGTGGGTATGGAGTGATATCTCATTGTATTTTTGATTTGTATTCCCTTCATGATTAATGATGTTAAACATCTTTTCATGTGCATAATGAACATTTGTGTATTTTCTTTGGAGAAATGTGTATTCAGATCTTTTGCCTATTTTTACATCTGATTATTTGTCTCTCTATTATGGGGCAGTTCTTTATATACTCCAGATACAAGTCTCTTACCAGACAGATGCACATGTATTTGTAAATGTTTTCTCCCATTCTATAGGTTTTCATTTTCTTTCTTTCTTTTTTTTGGAAAAGGCTTTTATTTATTTATTTATTTATTAAAGATTTTATTTATTTGACAGAGAGAGATCACAAGTGGGCAGAGAGGCAAGCAGAGAGAGAGAGAGAGGAGGAAGCAGGCTCCCCGCAGAGCAGAGAGCCCGATGTGGGACTCGATCCCAGGACCCTGAGATCAAGACTTGAGCTGAAGGCAGAGGCTTAACCCACTGAGCCACCCAGGTACCCCCGGAAAAGGGTTTTATTTATTTATTTGAGAGAGAGAGCAAGAGTGTGGACACAAGTGGGGGAAAAGGGACAAGCAGACTCCCCACTGAGCATACAGCCCAACATGGGGCTCGATCCTAGGGCCCTGAGATCATGACTGGAGCTGAAGTTGGATGCTTAACCAACTGACCCACCCAGGTGCCCCAGGTTTCACTTTCTTGATGATGTTTTCTTGAAGCATGGAATTTTAAAATTTTGATGAGACTCGCGTTATCTATTTTTCCTTTTATTGCTTGTGCTTTGAATATCATATATAAAATCCTATTGCCAAATCCAGGGTTATGAAGATTTACCCTTATATTTTCTCCTAATGGCTTTTTATTTTTCAATTTTTAAATTAAAAAAAGATTTCATTTATTTATTTGAGAGACTGAGTGAGAGAGTACAGGAACAGGGTCAGAGGTATAGGGAGAAGCAGAGTCCCCCAGCGCCAGGCTTGATCCTAGGACTCTGGGATCATGACCCAAGCTGAAGGCAGATGCTTAACCAACTGAGCCACCCAGGCACCCCTCTTAATGTTTTTTTTTTTTTAATTTTAAACTCTTATATTTTGGTCATCGGTCCATTTTGAGTTGTTTTTTTTTATATGGTGTGAGGTAGGGGTCCAAGTTCATTCTTTTGCATGAGACTATCAGTTGTCCCAGCACCATTTGTTGGAAAGACTTGTCTTTCCCCTATTGAATGATTTTGGCATTCTTGTTGAAAAGCAGTTGAGCATGGACATGTGGTTTTATTTCTGGACTCTCCTACTGTCTTGATGAACATTCTATAGTAAGTTTTTAAATTGGGAAGTGAGTCTTCCTACCTTATTTTTCTTTTTGAAAATTGTTTTGGTTATTCCAAGTCCCTTGAATTTCCATATGGATGTTAGAAGCAGCTTGTCAAATTCTATGAAGAAGTCAGCTGGGATTCTGATAGGGATTGCATTGAATTTATAGATCAATTTGAGAGGTATTGCCATTTTAACAATATTATTTTCAATCCATAAACCAGGGTATTTTTCCATTTATTTAGATAGTATTTACTTATTCCAACAATGTTTTATAGTTTTCAGAGTATTATTTTTGTACTTTTGTTTTTAAAGAACTTTTTCTTATGAGGTGCAGTTCATACAACATAAAAGTAACTATTCTAAAGTGTACAATTCAGGGGCACATTAACAATGTATTCATAACACATTCACAGTATTGTACAACTGACACTTCTATCAAAAGTTCCAGGCATTTTCATCATCCCAAAGGACGACCTTGTACCCATTAAGCAGCCACTCCCCATTCCTCCATCCCTGCATTTCCTGACCACCAGCAGTTTTCTTTCTTTGTGGATTTATCTATTTTGGATATTTCATATAAATGGAATGTGACTTTTTGTGTTTGTCTTCTTTTACTTAACATACTGTTTCAGAGGTTCATCCACATATAGCATGTATCTGTGTGTACTTCCTTACTTTTAATAGCTGCACAATATTCTATTGTATATGTACACCATATTGTGTTGATCCATTCGTCGTTTAAAGGACATTTAGGATGTTTCCACCATTTCACTATTGTGGATAGTGCTGCTATGTACATTTGTTTAACAATTATTTGAGCACTTATTTTCAGTTATTTTGGCTATTCTAGCAGTTCCCTAGGGCTGCCATAACAGATTAGCACCTGAGAAACTTAATTCTCTCACATTTATAGAAGCTACAAGTTCTCAATCACAGCGGTTGCCTAGGTCATGCTCTTTGGGCACTTCCCTTAGTGCTCTAGGGAAAGAATCTTTCTTGCCTCCCCCAGCTTTTGGTGACTCTAGGTGTTCTTATGTTTGGGGCTGCCTACCACCAGTCTCTGCCTTCACATGGTCTTCCTCTTTTATGTCTAAGTGTCTCAAATCTCTCTTTGCCTTCTCTTATAAGGACATCACTGGATTTAGGTCCCATCCTAAACCAGGATGATTTCCTCTCAAAAATCTTTAACTTGATTGCATCTGAACAGACCTTTTTCCCAAATAAGGTCACATT